AACGCCAGGTACCCAAGCTAGTCAATAATAAAATAAACCATGCACTCACTTTATGTCTGCCTTTGTCAATTGTATAACAGTACTGAATGTTTGCCATATATGTACCTGTAATCCACTATGAGTCCCCTCAGGCAGATAGAGCAGAATATAAACAAAGTATATTATATTTATTATTATGGTCTTCTCTAGCACATATTTTGACTTAAACCTCTTCACCCAGAAGCTCTCGTCTTACTAAGTTCTTTTTTGCTCGCTATCTCTCTGAGCCTGTCTTTCTCCATGCTAGCGCTCAGCTGCACACTCAATCAAAGGCATATATGATCAAATACATAACTTTGAGATAGGATGGCATACTGCTACTTTATCCAAGGTACTGACATATCCCATGCACGCAATCTCAAACTTTATGCCCATTGCACAATGTACTGACACATAACACAAACTAAAATATATGTGTAGCTGAGAAAGAGCCTTTAATTCATCCTTTACAGAGATTTATAGATTTTCTGGATCTATTCGCTGAAAATAATGATTGACTTTAGAATTCTTTTTATCTCCCAAGAAAGCTTTTCTGTTTCAGATAACAAGAACTTATATATCTGCTTGGTGATTATAATTGCAATGATCACACAAGATAGTTCTGTGCATCTTTGCCAGAGTCCCTTTTACCTGGGCTACATTAATAATTTATATTGTTTTTACCATTCTATTCATGTGAGCTTATTTAAAATTCAGGTGACATAGTCATAGGTCTTACAATTACAACCAATACAAACCTGATGTTCTGTTGTTTGGATGCAGGAATGGGTTGTTCCCGTACATTTGTTTGATTCTTTCCTTGTTTCCTTTATTTTCTTTCTTTCTTGGCAAATGTGAGTTTTCCACTGCACATTCCACCAAAATACATACCAATCTTCAGTTCAACCTGCTTCAACTTGGGTCTTCCACATGGCTGCTGTGGTGAAGCAGTTCGATCATTGCATTTTTTCTCTGGAGACCAGCCATGGAAATCTATGGGGTGAACTTGGGTTAGTCATTCACTCAAAGCCTGAGAAGAAGGGAAAGACAGCCCTCCTCTGAACAAAATCTCATGATAGAGTTGATTTAGAGTTGCCATAAGTCAGAAATGACTTGAAGGCACACTACAACTGTAACAGCACCAACAAATATATTCTGGACTACAACTCTCACTATTCATTGCTGGCCATAAGAGGAGTTAATATGAATAGCAATCCATAACACCTGAAGGAAGTTGGGGAAGGTTGTTCCAGTTGAATGCATACAAAAAACAATGTTTCTTTCTACTATCAGTTCTTCTTCAGAAGACAATGAGCTACACTGTATAATTAATGAATTATAAAATTATAAAATTATAAAATTTAAAATGTGTAGTCCTTTGGCCCATCTGAAACACAGAATGTGGACCCTGCATTCCATGCTGTTGTCCATCCATAGCCTAAATCATCAAAGTCCTATTGATTCAATGGGTTTACTGTAGGTTGCAGTACCAATTAGATTTACATCACTGCACAAGGTCAGGATTGGCATCCAAAGTGAATTTCTACCATCATGATGTATATCAGGGTAGGAACTATGTGGATCTCCAAATTGTCAGATTACAACACCCAGCATGCTTTTCCATTGGTTGGGCTGATAAGAATTGCTGGAAAAATTTTAAAGCAGAGGTTGGATGGCTATCTATCAGGAGTGTTTTGATTGATTGTTCCTGCATAGCAGGGAGGTCGGGATGCAGGCATGTAGCCGGGGGGGGGGGGGGGGGGGCTTGAGGGGCTTCAGCCCCCCCCCAAATTCTCATGGTGGTTTGCGAAAAGGCCTTACTGGTGCATTATTTAAACTGTTATGTTTATTCATATCATGATCTGATCACCATACTCAATATATCCCATATGCATGGGGGTATTGGGGTAACGATACAAAAGGTTTGCTAGGGTAGACCCTCTTTCACTCAGACTCAGCACCCCCCCCCCCCCCCCCCCCCGAATCGAAATCCTGGCTACGGGCCTGTCGGGATGGATGGCCCTTATGGTTTCTTCCAAATCTATAATTCTTTGAGTTGCACTTCCACAATGTCTGAAGCACAGCAGTTTGTCTATCCTCAATGTACAGTCAGCCTTTAACATTTGTGGGTTTGACGTTTGCAGATTAATTAAAATGTTCTCATGCAGACCTCCAGTGGAAATATGCCAGTTCACCTTTATTTTATTTTATTTTTGTTACATTCAGTCTAGATTACAAGAGAAAGTTTTGCATCTCTGTAGGTTTGTCTTTTCATCACAATTTGGTGTTACCAGCATCCCATGAACTCTATGAATGTGTGTGTCTTCAAGTTGCTTCTTGACTTATGGCAACCCAGTGAATTCCATAGGGTTTTTTTTTTAGAAGTAGTTTTGACAGTTTCCGTTTCTGGTCCATTAGGAAAAGAAACAAATAGTAAACAGGGACCTCTAGTGATAGTACATATCATTACATAGCACAGTGCACTTCCTTCAAAATGCAAATCTAGTACTACGAGGGGCGATACATTCCTGGACCTACCATGGAAATACAGAATTGCAGATAATAGTGAAGCTTACTGAAATGAATGACTTACATTAATGACATACCAAAGAACTATGTTGGAAGATCTAGAAAATGCATAAATGGAACACCTCTTTAGCATTTCTAGGTCCTCCAGCATCACTCTACAACAGTTTTCTCAGGCCCTCCTCTCTGACACCATCCTATCATTCCTTCCTTTTCTCTTTCCTTTCTCCCTCCCTCCCACCTTCTACCCTTTTATTCTTCCTTTCTTCCCTCTTTCCTCCTGCCTTCCCTCGCTCTTTCTTCTTCCTTCCTTCCTTCCTTCCTTCCTTCCTTCCTTCCTTCCTTCCTTCCTTCCTTCTATTTTGTCTATCTTCCCACTCTCTCTCCCTTCCCTCCCTCCCTCCCTCCCTCCCTTCTCTTTTTTCTTCCTCCTTTTCTCCTGGGGATGTTTAGCTGGGAGAAGAAAAGTTAGAGAGGGAACATGAGAACCATGTTTCAAGATTTAAAAGGGTGTCCCATTGAGGAAGGGGGMGTGTGACTTATCTACTGCTCTAGAGACCAGGGCATAAGGGAGCAATGATTTCAAATGGCAGGGAAAGAGATTCAACTGAAAATATTAGGAAGAACCTTCTGAGAGTAAGAGCTGTTGGAGAGTGGCATAGGCTGCCTCGGAGTGTGGTTGAGTCCCCTTCTCTGAAGGCTTTTTGTCAGAAACTGTATATTGGGAGTGCTTTGATTGTGCCCTTTTGCATGGCAGGGGGTTGGACTGGATGGTCCTTGGGAGTCTCTTCCAGCTCTAGGATTCTAGGATTACATATCAGGAGTAGGCAATAAGGGGTCTAATGGATATGCTTTTTCTCTCTCGTCCACCATCTCATCCAGACCAAGGCCAACCTTTTTGGGATCCAAATGTTTTCCATCTTTCCTTCACTTTCTGCCTCCAAAAGAGAAGAGGAAGGGGAGGAAAGGGCAGAGAGTGGGCTTGGGAAGAAACCCCTCCCTCCTGTCCTGCCTATCCCACTCCGGCCGGCCATGTGGCCCCCAAGTTTGAAAGTTTGCCCATGCCTGCTCTACAATAAATTTCCAATGGAAACATACCATAGAATCACAATGGAGGACTTAGAAAATGCCTAGAGATAACGTTTTCATATGTAGGTAAGAGAAATCACAAGTATCAGTTCTGCATAAATCGGGGCCATATAGTAGTTAAGATATTCTCCTGTGCCTGTTTTATTCTTATGTTTCAGTTACTGCCACCTTAAACATAGTATTTTTGAAAAATAACTCTGGGCTTTCACATTCCACTAAGTATCTGTGTACTGGAGATTGGTACCATGGCTCAAAATGGTATCCATTAACCAGGACACCTTGGCATTACTTACATTAGAAATTGATTCGCAAGAGTATTGTTTGGATTCTGGGTCAAGCCTGAGCCTATAGGATGTGATTGTACAATCCTATTTAACCCTCATAACCAATCAGTGTCTAGAAGTTGACTAGAGCTGCATCCAGGTGCCCTCTGGCTGCTGTTACACATGGAAAGGAAAGGAGCAGCCTCTTTATTGAAGATCTCATCACACTAGAGAAAAAATCCACTATAATCTGGTTTCTGCCTCTTGCAGAATTCTGGGGTTTGTAGTTTAGGGAGGTGCCTTTAACAGCCTCATTAAATTACAAACCCCAGAATTCTGCAGGATTTTAAATTGATTTTTTAAACCGGATTTTAAATTGATTTTTTCTCTAGTGTGATGAAGGATATTCCTTTCTCTTGGCTATGGAATTGCTGATGGGAGATTGCCTGGGAGCAGCTCCACTCTTGGTCATCGACTGGCTATTGGAGTTGTAATCCCACGCTCCAACTGCAGTTGCAAAGCCATGGAAAGGAATAGGCAAGCAACATTTTTTGCTCTACAGTCAGCCCTCCACATTTGCTAGGCTTAAGGGCACAGGGACTCCACAAAAATGAAAAACTGCAAATAAAGAATCCTTGTGAGAATCTCTCAGTTCTCCTACACAACTCTAGGATCAACTTCCAATAGAATTGTATGAGAGGACTTAGAGATTCCTTGAAAAGTGTTCCCTCAAGTCACATGACTCTGTGATCAATTTCCAGCAGAAGTGCATTATAAAGTCTCACTGGAGAACCTAGAGATTCCTAGAAAGAATATTTTAATCAAACCCACAAAAAGTCACATTCACACATTTGGAGGGCCAACTGTAATAGGATCCAAACTTCCGCCTGTCTCCAAACAGGAACAATAGAGTATGGCAAATAAACTCTTAAGTTCTACTTGGAGAAAGGCCATTGAAATTAATGAGATTGTGGTTAGACATTAGAATTATCCATTCCAAATTGGTGTGAGCTTCTGGACATCAAAGAAGCACATTCAAGTTGTCATATCAGCACCTTCTGTCATAAAAATGCACCTCTTGTTCAATGGGCACCATGCAACAATTTAACAACATACAATGGGTTCCAGTTCTTGTTCCTGTTGCTCTTTTTTCTTCTGCTTCCTTACAAGCTTATTGTAAAGATACTGGATTCTCTGGTCTTCTTGATTCTCAAAAAAAGAGGCGGCAATTTTTCGGCATAGTCGACGTGAATATGTTTCCAAAAACGTAATGGCATAAATGATGCAATATAGGACTCCGACAGCAAATGTTACAGCTGTGTTTGGTGGAGTCGGATATCTCAAGGAACAGTTAGTAGAGAGAAAAGTCAGATTCTGATGGTAACTCCTTTCAAATGGTGATTTGGATTGTTCTATAGAAAAAGCATTATTAAAAACTTTTCCAAAAAATTCTATAAAGGTTAACTTGACCTGAAAGAACAAGAGAGAATTGGTTTAGCTGAAATGTGTAGCTCATCCACACACTTGTTCCGCATTCAAAGGCTCCATTGACTCAACTGGTTATCCCATGTTAAGGTGCAGAGATTATTGATTTAAAGCAGCAACAACAACATAGGTCTTATTCATACTCCACAATTATACTAATCTGATACCACTTTAACCACCATAATAATAACATTATAATAAAACTTTATTTCTAACCCGCACCTCAGGGCAGCTTCGAAACGTAACACAAACAAGGAAAACATTCAATGCCATAAAAATATAAACATTTGCACATACAATAAACAAAAAATAAATGACTTTGACTGAATAATAATAATAATTCATGGCTGCATCCCACAGATTCTGGGATCTGTAGTTGAATGTGGCTCTTAGAATTCTCTGTCACCATTTCCCTGAACTTTGCAATGTCCAAAGAAGTGAGTTATGATAAATTAGATTTATGCCACTCCAACACATTAAAGGATGCCAGCCAACCTTTTTTGAGTTTTTAAAGTGCCACAAAAGTTTTTATGGATATTTTCATTAATACTAACTACAGTACTCACAATTAAAACCACGATTATTCAAGTATAGTTTTGGCTTGCCTAGACAACTGACATCTTATTACTTTTCTCTTAAATACTTGGGCTGGTGGCTTTAGTACTCACATCATATTTTATCCAGAAGCTAATTGGCACTACAGGGAACTGAGTAACTTCACTCACAGCTGCTTGTGCCAAATGGAAGGCAATATAGTCTGTTGCGATGATCACTAATGTTAATATCAACACCAAGGTAAGAAGAAAAATATGTGTGAGAGAGGTCATGAGTTCTTCTCTGGTTAACTTGAGACCAGTTGATTTTATCAGCTTCCTGGAAGTGCAAGAGAGTAGGTGAATTGTTTTCTTCTCCTGAGCTAAAGAATCTAGTTTTTTGGTGATATAAATATTATCAAATTTGAGATCTGTGAGATAGCATTTCAGGTAAGAAGCAGACTCAAAAATAAGAAAGCAAAGAAAGAAGCCAGCAGATACTCGGTTGGCCAACAATATGATCTTCTGAATTAACATTTCAATTCTCAAGAAATCCTCTGTGATATGATGGCTAGCATCAGTCATTTTCTGACTCAGTAGGAATTCATTACTGTGAGTTTCAAACATAACCTGGCTATCCCTTGTTTTCCCAAATTTGTCTGGCAAGTCATCAGTTCTAATTTTGAGAACGCGACTGAAGTCCGATGAAGCATTTTCCAATAGAAACGTTGACTTTAGGAGACTCTCAGAGGAATCCTTGCAGATGCATTTAATGATTTCCAGAATAGCCTTGATGTTGCTTGTGATGTTTGGGATTATGTTGAGAGCTACAATCATGAAACAGGCAGACAGGAGAAGCCTCCTCCCTTGTTTAGTCCCTAATGTAGGCACAATCATGGTGAACATGCAACGGACAGGGTGCACCAAAAAGAGTGTCCATAAGGCCAGGAAACTAATGGTTGAAGCAGCTGTGGCAGAGAACTGGGAAGAATATTGCAGAGAGGAAAACATCCAGCAGTAGAAGAGGCCTCCAATTGAAGCAGCAATGCAACAGCACATGAGAAACAAGAATAGCAGTTGGTGATAGTCAGATGGTATTGGTGTGGAATAAGCGACCCAGGCTTCTAAGATGACGTCTTGTATCCTTGGAAGGAGACTGTCCTGACAGTAGGTCCAGATTCCTAACCTGTACCAATAATGAAAAATTATTTATGATTTGATATGATTGATCCAACAAATAACTGAAACCACCCCAACCTGCACTGATCCTGAAAGCTAATGGGAGTGCAAATATGAAATTTCGATATTAAGATTAAAACACTGAATGTGAAATTTCACAGCTAAATCCAAAATTAAATCATACTATATTTAAGGGAATACCCTCATCTTATAATTGCAGGCTTAGACTAGATTGTTTCAGCCCATTTGGAAAAGTTGTTTTTCTAAGCTCTTGTTTCAATGTGCATCATATGGTGATTCAAATAAATGGTCCACTTATAGATGCTAAATATAATATGCACTACCAACCAACATATTATGTAAAAAACATTAAAGATGTAATTGTGGGGTAAATAAATACTACTAAAAGTTAAACATTAAATGCTATTCTATGACAATAGTTCAGTAATGACAGAAAAAGATTGAGCATCCCTTATCTGAAAGCCCAAAATTCAAAAGACTTCAAAATTGTCCACATGGGTGGCTGAGATAGCGATACCATTGTTTTCTGACTGTACACAGACTTTGTTTCATGCACAAAATTATTAAAAGTATTGACTATACAGTTACCTTAAGGTTATTAAAAATATAAATGAATATTTTGTTTAGACTTGGTCAAATCTCCAGGATATCTCAATATGAACATGTATGCAAATTCAAGTCTTCTTAAATCTAGAAAAATCCGAAATGTTTCTGGTCTCCAGTATTTCAGATAATGGATAACCAAACCTAAATTCTGCAAAGGGCCTGGAATTTTTGGGCAGGATGTGACAAATAATGTCTCCTTATTTCCTGCCCTATGTACCACAGAACATAAATTCATGTGGTATATTTTATCTGACAAAAACACTCTTTGGACTGTTGTTGTTGTTCATTTGTTCAGTCGTTTCCGACTCTTCATGACCTCATGGACCAGCCCATGCCAGAGCTCCCTGTCAGCCATCAACTCCCCCAGCTCCTTCAGAGTCAAGCCAGTCATTTCAAGGATGTCATCCATCCATCTTGCCTTGGTCGGCCCCTCTTCCTTTTTCCTTCCATTTTTCCCAGCATCATTGTCTTCTCTAAGCTTTCCTTTCTTCTCATGGTGTGGCCAAAGTACTTCATCTTTGCTTCTACTATCCTTCCCTCCAATGAGCAGTCAGGCTTTATTTCCTGAATCTTCTGGCAGTCCAAGGCACTCTCAGAACTTTCCTCCAGCACCACAGTTCAAAAGCATCTATCTTCCTTCGCTCAGCCTTCCCTATAATCCAGCTCTCACATCCCTTTGGACAGTAGGGTTTTTAAATAAAATTAATTTTCTTTAGACATATTATGTTTAAATTAAAGCCTAATCATAACAAAGGTGAAGAATTCAATCATGATTTTGCTTCCATTCACACATCTTGGGACCTTTCACATTATACAATAATAGCTCTTTGATTTCACATCAACTGCCATGACAACATCAAGTTGAATCCTGAGTTAGGTGTTTGCACCTCAGATACAGTGCCTAACCAAACTTTAGAAAACTATAGGATGCAACCATGGAAGTTAAATGGAATTGCAATGCTGTGATCATGTAGTATGAAAGGGCTCTTTTTTGAGAACTATGGGGAAGAAAATAAATATATTAATATTTTAAAACCCCTTTTCTCACCTACTCCATAAAACTGTTCTCATGATTTCAATTTCTACTATGATTATAATTTCATCTTTCCTTCTTTTTAATTTATCATCCTCCAAGCAGATTTCAAAATTGGGTTATTCATTGTAGTTTTCCAAGTTTAAATTTTACTATGTTCATGCAAAAACATTTCAATGAACATTTACTAACTTAGTCATACCTAACATTCTTATACTTGCAGAAATCAATTTTAATGACTTGGGATGTTTGGATAGAAGCAAGGCAATAAATGTTTTCTTTTATACCTATAAAACAAATTTTGGTTTCAGTAATATGGATTTTATTCATTTTTTTAAAGGAAAAATATGATGTAAAGAATATGTTACTGCAACTTCGACTGCTAACCACATAAGCCCTTTAACACAGTTTGTTTCCCTGGAATTATGTTTGAGTCTTGTGACCTAAACATTGTTATTCCCTTAACCTTGAGAGAAGAACAAAAAGCAAGAAATCTTTTTTTTTCAACTGGTTAATTAACAGTTTGCTGGGTCTTAGCTCTGTGGGTTATTTAACTAATTAATAACCTAATTAATGAATTAATTCTGAAGAAATCTTAATACTGAAATTCTATCTTAACTCACTCACTTTCATTAACGTTTAAGCATTGACCCTTTTATCAACAAATGTCAGGAGCCCCCAGTGCCACAATGGGTTAAACACTTGCGCCGGTAGGATGCTGACTGAAAGGTCGACAGTTCGAATCCGGGGAGCAGGGTGAGCTCCCGTCTGTCAGCTCCAGTTTCTCATGCGAGTACACGAGAGAAGCCTCCCACAGGATGGTTAAAACATCCGGGCATCTCCTGGGCAATGTCCTTGCAGACAGCCAATTCTCTCACACCAGAAGAGACTTGTAGTTTCTCAAGTCGCTCCTGACACCAAAAAAATCAACAAATGTCTAAAATAACTCACAACTAAATTATTTTTATTTTGTCCTTCCTGATAATGATATTACTGAAGTTCTTTGATATAATGTACTAGACTGTGGCAGATCTGTCCAACCATCCTACAGAATATCATTATTGTAACTATAGTTTTCAGGACTTATTACAGGAATCCTCTTAGTGTTCAAATATTTAAGTTACACATAGCAAATACTTATTCTCTTTTGGATAATTTTCATTATCAGCTTCATTTTCTTTTTCTAAGCACCCAAAGATAAATAGTTAAGAAAAAAATCCTTACATACCCTGTCTTCTGAAGATGCCCCAAGTTCCTTTGTAAGTTCTCAGAAGCCCTGTAAATCTTCATCTTGTTTTTGTATGTTAGGGATGGGGAGGCCTTAGAGAAAACATGGATACAACTCCCAACAGTTGCAAGAGAACTATGAATGTAGGATGATGTATGTATTAACTTGGAAATGTCTTACATTCACTGACAAGGTAAGGGATGAAATCAAATCTCTTTGTCTTTCGTAAGTAATTATGCCCATTGCCTACTGCTCTGCACACTACAAAACAAAACAAGAGCTTTCTCTCTTTAAAAGTCCCTCATGGACTGTAAGTATGTGCTGATGACTCCTGTTTAAATACCAGCCCTGGATATCAGAAAAGATTGGTCACTATGAATAACCACTGCATCTTGGTGATGAATTCAATCAGCTGATCCTCTACTAATGTTTACACTTGTTAAAGGGCTTTGAATATACTGTGTTGTGGTTTTGACTTTGGAAACACAGCACTTCCTTAAAACATAAACTCAGTAAGACTCCACAGTTCAAAAGGACAAGTTGTTGATGAAGATGTTAGCAATGGGAAATAATTTATAATTGTGTTTGCCATTCTGGCTCAAAGCTGTAACTATAAGAGGATCTAAATGAGGGTATTTCCCCTTGAAATGAGAAATCTGCCCCTTCCATGACATTTTCCTTCAGCTTTCAAATGTCTTCCATTGCAAAGAGTGAGACGTTAAAATTCTATACACCTAGGACACTTACATTCACTGTGTTTGTATTTCCTTGAGAACTTTGCCTGCCTTTTTTTCATTTCCACATGTGCAACTGAATTTTTACTGTAATGCTAGAAATTTAAGGAGTAAAGGAAAATTTCATTCTCTGCTTCCCCAAAGTTACACTTCTGCTCTAATTTTCCCATCTTGAAAAGAAAATGATCATAGAATAGGTTGGGAAATTTACAGGCCACATACAGCTACTTCATGATACCCTTACCACTTTGAACTTTGTTTTCATGATGGTGTTGAAAGCATCAGATTCAGATCTTGGAAGCTAATCAGGATAATCCCTGCCCACTTGCATAGAAGGTTGCCAATGAATAGCAGTCAGGTGATGTAGATTATTTCTTTATCGTGTCAGGAGCGAACCAAACAGTTGTACTGTATTTATTTATTTTATAAAAAAAAACACAGTTTGCAAACTTGGCATTCTATTAAATGTCCTTTGACCAGTAGCTGACCACTTGGAGTGCCTCTGGTGTTGCTATAAGAAGGTCCACCTTTGTGCATGCGGCAGGGCTCAGGTTGCATTGTTGTAGGTGGTCTGTGGTTTGCTCTTCTCCACACTCGCATGTCATGGATTCCATTTTGTAGCCCCATTTCTTAAGGTTGGCTCTGCATCTTGTGGTGCCAGAGTGCAGTCTGTTCAGTGCCTTCCAAGTCGGCCAATTTTCTGTGTGCCCAGGAGGGAGTCTCTCATTTGGTATCAGCCATTGATTGAGGTTATGGGTTTTAACCTGCCACTTTTTGACTCTCACTTGCTGAGGTGTTCCAGCAAGTGTCTCTGTAGATCTCAGAAAACTTAAGTCATTAGCATGCTGGCTGATATCCAAACAGGGGATGGGCCAGAGATGTCACTGCCTTGGTCCTTTCACTATTGGTTGCTACTTCCTGGCAGATGTACAATATTGGCTAAACAGTGTCATTTCTCCAGTAGTGTAGGGTGCAGACAGCCTGTGATAATGTGGCATGTCTCATTAAGAGTCACATCCACTGTTTTAGGTTATATTTGAGAAGAAGAAACTGACAAAACCAATCAGGGTATTCCTTGCCTAAGAAAACCTAATGGAATTCATGGAGTTGTCATAAGTTGACAGATGACTTGAAGACGCATCTTCACATACCTTTAATCAGCTGCTTCTTGATCTCAAGAGGAATATTTATTTTGAAAAAGATAAGGAAAAAAGGTGAAAGAAAAACAGAAAAAAAACAAAAGACACAGGACCCGTGGGTGCCAAAAAGATGGAGCAATCAGTGGCACAATTGCATTTACTTTTATAGGTAAAACAATGTAAAGATGCCTTTGAAGCCTTTCTAGGTTACTATCTAACAAATTGGTCAAAGGCAAAAAGGTGAGGTTACATCATTGCATATATTTAATATCTCACTTTCTCACTTGCATATATTTAATATCTCACTCTCTTTCTGCCCATTACTTTAATTAACAGACACTTTCTGAACTAGCTTATTCCTTTAGCTTGTTATTCTCAAGCAACCTGTGCTTAAAGGGAAGGCAAAGTGGAGCATGCCACCACTGCTGCAACATGGGAGGCTTCTCGTATTCTCCCAGGAACAATGGAGAGAAGCTGGGCGGTTGATGCTCCCCCCCCCCCCCACCGTGGGATATTGAATTGGGTGATGCGGGGTGTGGGGTGACAGGTTCCTCAGGCCCCAACGTGCACCCCTGGAATCACCATGATGTGTGGCAATTTCAATGGCCTTTGTGATGAGGTCGAAGGTCATACTTAGGTGATCCTTCGTAGCCTGAGAATGATGGTCCTCCAAGTGTAGTGTCTTGGTGGTGGGTCTGCAGGTGGGTGTGGAGCCCTATTCTTGATCCGCATGTTCTCCTGCAGTGAGGACATCATTTTCCAGGTGGAAGCCGATCCCGGTCAGGGTTGGCTTGATGCGCCTTCCTCTTGGCATGTTTCTCTCTTTTGTCCTCAATTCGTGCCTCTTCAAATTCTGCAGCACCGCTAGTCACAGCTGACCTCCAGTTAGAGAGCTTAAGGACCAGGGACAGTTCCTGGCTTCTGGAAGATTCAGATTTCTAATAGGGTGGTCTATTACCCACTGTCAAAGGCACCCCGAAATGGTTAACATTATGAAGACATATCCTCCAACTGTCCTAATCTGGCCAGGAGAGTAATAATGAATCTTTGCAGCTTCTCATTGTGGAGCTCCAGGGAAAGCAGCCATCCAGCCAGTGGCCCCTGTCAATTCCTAATAAGTATGCTAATGGAGACATAGGGCTGTGATACTAAATTCAGTGGTATTCTATTGCAGGTACGAGGAAGGAAATGTGCCCCAGCTTCTACATGTAGAAGTTGCCTATATTTCTACTGCAGTAGAACCTGTTTAGAGAAGACTGCTAAGTTGACTAAGAGTTTAAAATGTTTCTTTTTCAGAAGGCTAAAGCATTTGCAGGTTGAGGAACAGTGGTCTCTTACACTACACAGTGATGGCTCAATGATGCCACTTTAACTGCCAGGAGCTAGTGGGAGACTTTGGCCTCATTCCAACCAGCCTTGCCAAGTGGCATCCAGGGCCGGCCCGTCCATTACTCGAAGTAAGCGGTGGCGGAATACTTTTTTTGCCAGGGGGCGCTGTTTTGTCCTTAGGCCACGCCTCCTCCTGCAGGCCCCATGCGCCCTCAACAGCCTTCTAATGGAGAAGCGCAGGCCCGCCCACTACGCGAGAGGGAAGTCCTCCCTCCACGTGCTGCCAGGAGGCAGCCAGCCAGGCTCTTTCGCTTTCCCTTTCCTTCCCTGCAGCTGAGCCTGGACCCCTCTCAGGGCAGCAAGGAGGCCTGGTCAAAAGGTACTGCAAATGTCATCTTTTGTACATGCCTCCCCCAAACCTCTCTAGTATTTGGTAATGGAAGTCCTATATGCCAAGTTTGGTTCAATTCTATTGTTGGTGGAGCTCAGAATGTCCTTTGGTGCTTCGTAAACTGCAATTCCCAAATGTCAGGGTCTATTTTTCCCAACCCCCTCTCCAGTATTTTCTGTTAGTCATGGAAGTCCTGTATGCCAAGTTTGGTTCAATTCTATTGTTGGTGGAGCTCAGAATGTTCTTTGGTGCTTGGTATGCAATTCCCAAATGTCAGGGTCTATTTTTCCCAACCCCCTCTCCAGTATTTTCTGTTAGTCATGGAAGTCCTGTATGCCAAGTTTGGTTCAATTCTATTGTTGGTGGAGCTCAGAATGTTCTTTGGTGCTTGGTAAACTGCAATTCCCAAATGTCAGGGTCTATTTTTCCCAACCCCCTCTCCAGTATTTTCTGTTAGTCATGGAAGTCCTGTATGCCAAGTTTGGTTCAATTCTATTGTTGGTGGAGCTCAGAATGTTCTTTGGTGCTTGGTAAACTGCAATTCCCAAATGTCAGGGTCTATTTTTCCCAACCCCCTCTCCAGTATTTTCTGTTAGTCATGGAAGTCCTGTATGCCAAGTTTGGTTCAATTCTATTGTTGGTGGAGCTCAGAATGTTCTTTGGTGCTTGGTAAACTGCAATTCCCAAATGTCAGGGTCTATTTTTCCCAACCCCCTCTCCAGTATTTTCTGTTAGTCATGGAAGTCCTGTATGCCAAGTTTGGTTCAGTTCTATTATTGTTGGAGTTCAGAATGCTCTTTGGTGCTTGGTGAAGCATTCTCACCTGATGTTTCACCCACATCTATGGCAGGCATCCTCAAGAGGCTGTGAGGTCTGTTTGTAACTAGGCAAGTGGGGTTTGTAGATCTGTGGAATGTCCAGGGTGGGAAAAAGAACTCATGTCTGCTTGAGGTAAGTGTGAATGTTGCAATTGGTCATCTTGATGAGTATTTAATGGCCTTGCAGCTTCGAAGCCGAGCTAGTTGCTGCCCAGGAATCCTTTGTTGGGAGCGGTTAACTGGCCCTGATTGCTTCATGTCAGGAATTCCCCCCTTTTTTAGTGTTGCTCTTTATTTATTGTTCTGATTTTAGAGGGTACTGGTAGCCAGATTTTGTTCCTCTGAGGTTGCCTGCCATAGATGTGGGGAAAATGTCAGGAGAGAATGCTTCTGGAACATGGCCATACAGCCCAGAAAACTCACAGCAACTCAGTGATTCTGGCCATGAAAGCCTTCCACAACACATTATTATGTTTATTTATACCCTGCTTTTTCTCTCCCCAAGAAGACTCAAGTTGGCTTAGATTAAAAACATTTCAGTACAGTTTAAAATCCACAAATATGCAAACATTAAAATGGAATTAAATATCATTGGTATTTTAAAAATTCAATTAAAATCCATAAAAAACATATCCAAAACTAAAAACTGCA